GTATTTCCTCAGCAACCAGCACGGATCAGCTCCAGGCATGACGAAGTGATATCGTCCTCTTTTGGAAGGCCAAACAAAGTAGTTTCGCTTTCACAACGAAACACACAGCATCTCCACAACATGGCAGCAGCGGCAACAGCGAGAATAAAAGTAACACCTTCTTTCTTTGCGTGGACATTTGGGCGGTGTTATGCAAATCTTCCCACATAGTGACGTAGGCATGTGGGGGTGTTAGAATGAGCCGTTTTAGCAGGGCGTGGTTGACTCTTAACTTTTATAAAGAATATCTCTTTGGATTTGAGAATTTAGTCTTTGCAACTTTACAGATCTTCTTTATGCACCAAGAGCTTGTAACACTCCAAAGAGAAAGGAACAATTGAAATCGCATCATATGACTCCTTTAAAGCATTTCCAAATTTTTGTTCTCTTAATAAATAAAACTTGCTGACTTGAAAGCATTATGAGGTATAAATGTAAATTTAAAGTCTAAGTACAATTAACTGGAAATTACTTTGCTGTATTTAATATAGGTGCTGCTACAATGGGACAGGAACTGCAAGAGGCAGGGAGTTCTGCTAAAGTGCATTGGTTTGGGAGTTCTGCTAAAATGGGACATGGACAGCAAAGGTCAGGGAGTTCTGCTCCAATGAGTTCTGCTACAAGGACACCGGAACGGGAAAATCTACTGCCGGACCAAAATCCATTGACAGACCAGAGACAATAAAATGACAGCTATCAAATGAGCCACTTAAACAAACCCAACACAAAGGCCTTCTTCTAACAAATAACCAGCTATTAACAGATTCAATTTTCACACTCTTCCTTAACCAAAACTCTCATATTCCAGCTTTCTGTGATATATATATGACAGTAGCTTGAGTTAACATTAGCAGTAGCTTGAGTTTTGTTGAGGATGTAAAAATCTGTAAATATTGACAACCTTGCTTTTAAAGTTTTAATCATTATACATATATAGAATGGCTTTGTGGTATTTAGTCTATAAACAAATGTATTTTGTATAAATAGAAAAGCACAAAACTGCTTATAACAAAAATATATTTAATTTGGCCTATATTTCATTACTCTCTTACCTTACATTCAATTGGCCTACATGTCTACATTAATAATATAATATAATTTGCTATGAATATCCTACATTTCTGCCACAATCCCACAGTTACTGTTACTACAGTAAATCCATTGTAAATGTTGGTGATTTTGTGGATTGAAACGTATTCTGACTGCATTGTTGTCGCATCAGTGTTGACAATTTCCGCATCAGTGTTGTTGAGAATGTCGGCGCTGTTTCATCTGCCTTTAAACTAGTTTAAATCACCACGACATCCGTGGTTTGTATCGGAGAGTTCTGCTCCAAACTCAAACGCTTCTCATTGGATCTCACAGCTATGTTTATTAATCGCGTGATCGAGATCAGTCAGTGAGTAAACGCATTTGTTCTGAGTTCGCGCTGCGCTGTCTTTAGGCAGAGCTAATAACGGTCTGTGCAGCGCGGTTCAAACGAGTCGCGCTCTTCCGCTTTTGGCGCGTTTAGGAATTCTCGTGCGCGAAAGAAATGGCAGTGCAAATGAGTTATCAAATTATCACTCGCATTTTACTGCTACATCTGGTATAAAATTTAGTGCTGTCATCTTGTGTTGACATTGTGAAACTGCATTTTGTTAATTATGCTTGGCGGGCCACATATAATACATTTTAATAGACAAGCTTTGGGCCATTTGAAATTCATCCACGGGCCGGACTTTGGACACCCCTTGTTTAAGTCATAGTTTAACTGATTGGTTTTAGATGGAAAATCTGCCCATAACTCCTGGTCTAGGATATGTTTTCTTCATAATGATAGCATAACGAAATAGATTTGGCAAACAATCCAGTGTATCTGCCCTTCTGCTTTGGAAAGCATCAAATGATTTTGCAATGCATTTTCTCGCAGAGGTGAGCAACGTAGCCAATTACAGACATGTTTGTTGATTTCTACAACGCAATGCCCAATCAGAGGTGTTTAGGTTGGAATCCACGCACTCACCGCTTTTTGTCCAGTGCTGAGTTCTATCATGCTCGTAACTTCATAAAAAAAATGGTTTCATTGTGTGGTCACATTGGTTAAAACGGAACTTTGTGACATCGTGATGAATGAGAGACAGTTTTTAATAAATTTAAAGGGAGCACTCTTTGCATGCATGTATACGATTAAATATTCAGTATTTAAATAAAACTTGCTTTTCATGCTTGACAAGCGGCCACGTACGACACAGAGATAGCTACTAGCCTACACTATATAGAAAAAGATAATAATTTCTGAAGCACAGTGATGTGATTCTGCAACCAAACCTGGTCCAAAAGCAGCTAGGTATAGGAAACTGTTATTAATTATTTGTATTGGCTGCCATGCCAAATCATGCACACCTGCTTGCTTTTCTGTTTAATTTACCAGTGTTTTTGTGAACGTATGTGCTTTAATAACAAATAATTGTAACACTTTACAATAAGGTTCAATTAGTTAATGTTAGTTAATGTATTAAAGTGTATGAGTGTTTTTCTCAATCGATTTGACACTTTTCTCCAAAGTAATGCAATTGCTCTCAAAACAACTAACACAGCCATCTAAACGCAGGCTTATTTTAACCAAAATGATTTTTACTGCAAAATGAAGCACTGCATTTTTTTTTCTAATAATGCATTTATTAAAAGTACATTTTAACATCAAAACTGTAGGTATGTTCTCAATTGATTATTAAACATGTTCAGCTATAGATGCACAAATACACAAATGAAAATACACATTTATCTAACACCTATCCCCCCATGTGACAAATTAAACTAATACAACTATACAATTATATACTATATAACTATAAAATAAAGAAATGCTTCTGATAGCTAGAGATCAGTCTTGTTCAGTGTTGGGGAAAGTTACTTTTAAAAGTAATGCATTACAATATTGAGTTACTCCCTAAAAAAGTAACTAATTACTTTACTTAGTTTTTATGGAAAGTAATCTGTTATGTTACTTTTGAGTTGTTTTTTAAAATCTGGGCAGGGCTTGATTGTTTGTTTTTAATATAAAAAAGTTATTATTTTACAAATGTAAAAAAAGCCCTTTTCACAACAAAAGTGTAATAAATACGCCTCAGGCCGAAGGCAATGTAAATTCATTTCTGTACAGTAGAGGGTGCAGCGCAAACAAATTGCATGAAGAATATGATGCAAGAGAAGAAAGTTTTCTTCTACACTATTCAGCAATAACAAAAATGAAACAGAAATGTGTCATTTTTGCTTAGTATGGTTGAATTGGAACATCGAAGGTCAGTAGCAAAGACATTGGTTAATGAAATGGATTAAAAACAAATTATATTTGTCTTATTTAACATTTAATTATTGCAGGTTTGTATAATATTCTGAGTTTGCATTTGACTGTTTTTTATTCATTTTGAGAAATACTGAATCTGTTTTTGTGCAGATGAGATGAGTAAATAGATATTCACATTTAGTCTAGTATACAGTAAGATCATGTTCACACAGCACACACAACACCTCTGCACTTACTCCCAATTTCTCTCAACATGGCAACGCGAGAGCTGTCAGTCAAGACATGGGAAACAAAGTAACTGGCTTTACTTATTTAAAAAAGTAACTCAAATATTTCCTTCTAAATTAAAAAGTAATGCATTACTTTAGTAATCTGATTATGTAACTCGTGTTATTTGTAATGCGTTACCCCCAACACTGGTCTTGTACACTGTTGTAGTAGAGTTTTGGCCCACTCTTCTTTGCAGAACTGCATTAATTCAGACACACACACACACACACACACACACACACACACACACACACAAAGGGATTTCCATGCTTGACAAGCTTCTGTCTCAACATCTCCACAGGCGTCTGCCTTAAATTTGTGGCTGGTGCTTGTTCTGGACCACCATGTCAACAATGCTCCTGTTCCATTCAAAATAATCTTGATTGTCCACCTGAATGATCTCAAATTTAAATTCGGAAAAATGTTTGGACATTTACAGTCAATAACAGAAGTTGCCCCAGAAGGACTAAAAATCTGTACTATCAACAATCATAGTAAATCTCTTCTCCCTTTCCTTCTTTTCTCACATCCTCCTCTCTGCTCACCTCTTTCTACCTGTTACACTCTTCATCTTCTCTCTCATTACACCCCTTTCTCTACCCACTCCACCACCTTATAGACTTACACCTCTTTCTTTACCCCCCCCCTTTTATTTTTACTATATTTTATTATTATTATTATTATTTGCATATTTGTTCTTGCTCTTTGTATACTTTCCCTTTTATTATTACTCTAAAGCAATTGTGATAAATGTGTAAACGATTAGGAAAACTGCATTTCCTGTGTTGAGTGTATGATTAACCGATTAGCTATCAGTTTAGGGCCAATCGAAAATACACCATGTTCATTTGATAGTGTCGATGGGACGTGACGTCTCCGTTCCCTCCTTCAGGGAACGAGGGTTACATACATAACCGAGATGTTCCCTTTCAGTCGGTCACTCCGAGTCACATCGAATTGGGATCCCTACCAAAGCGCCATGGATGCTGCCCCTTCCAGTGTCCTGTGCGATCCGCCTGTGCCCCTTTGTAGTGTAGGCCGGGGCTCGCAACAAGAAGACCAGTCACTGTTGTCATAGCACTACCCACTCAGTGAGATTGGATAACACTGGGGAAACGTACCCGTTCCACTTGGAACAGGAAAGTTGCGGAAGCCCCATCCTTCCCGAAAGAAGGTTTAGGAAGCACTTACACAGATGACATCCGTTTAGGTGCATATGGAAGATTAGAGGTGATTGTAACCCTCATGAAAATGGCAGAAGTCTGCCGGGGAAACACGGGCTCGGAGGCTATACCGTGGACTTTACACATATGGGATCCGCTTAGGTCTCTACATATGGAACCCAG